AGAAGAAGAATAAGAAGAAGAAGAAGAAGAAGAAGAAGAAGAAGAAGAAAAAGAAGAAGAGGAGGAGGAGGAGGAGGAGGAGGAGGAGGAGGAGGAGGAGGAGGAGGAGGGAGGGAGGAGAGTGGTGGAGGAGGAGGAGGAGGAGGAGGAGGAGGAGGAGGAAAGAGAGGAGGAGAAGGAGGAGGAGAGGAGGAGGAGGAGGAGGGGAGGGGAGGTGGAGGAGGTGGAGGAGGTGGAGGAGGTGGAGGAGGTGGGGGGAGGGTGAGAAGGTGAGAGGGTGAGGGTGGGTGGATGGGGATGGGGGGGGGGTGGAAATGACTTGGTTATACGCTGAGCGCAAGATTGCAGAATTGGCTCAGTGAAGATACCCCCCCCGACCTAGATACACGTCAAATGACGCCTGTTACACGCTAGGCGCCAAATACACGCTAAGCGAACATGCGCTTAGCGTGTACCATCTTTTCCCATGCGTGCGCTAAGCATAGCCAACCAATCGTACGTGGTGCAATCTAGGTGGTGCATTTTTCAATGTTACAGACGAGCTGACACATCCCATGCCCTTGCAGACATCCCACCCCCCACCCGCAACTTGGTTTGCACAACGCATGCGGTGGCGAATGCGATGCATGCTTGGCGTTGGCTGGTGCATCTCTGCGGCCGCGCCAACCCAAGCACGCGCGCGCAGCGGCCAGCTAGTTTGGCGCGGCCGACGCGGCCGTGGTTTCGCTGACCGCTGGGCGCATCCCAGCGGGCACTTCTCTGCGAGTCGGCGACTTGGGCGGGCGCGGTATCATGGCAACGTCGACAACGGTAGACACGATGATGATAGTAGCGATGCTGGTGGTGATGTTGACAACGACGAAGGCGCGGCCAGTGCGGGCGCCGAAGCTGATCACGCCTATGACGATGACGGCGCCCTCGCGTCGGTGATGAAGGTTTTGGAAGGAGTTCGACATGTGCGCGCGGCCGGCGCGCGAGAGTGGCCCGCATGGAATTATTTGACACGGATCGTGCCCCCCCCAATAGCACGCGCGCAAGGGCGTGCGACTGATGCCGGCATGCGGCGCAAGAGGCCCGCGTGGCAAAATCCCACGAACAGGTTGAACAACTTGTGGTTTTCTCAAGAACCCGCAAGAGCGCGAGCGCATTCTTTTTGGAAAACTGACGTAGCGAAACATTTGTCCATTCTGTTTTTTTGGACGTTCGGTTTTGAAAGCGTTACGGAACCGAAGGTTCTTTGACGGATTTCGGCATGCGTGTGCGACGATGCGCGCGCATGCGTTTCGTCACAATTCTTGCAAAAGGATTCCCGCGTCGGCACGCGCGCAAGGGCGTACGAACGATTTCGACATGCGCGCGCGCGAAGCCCGTTTGGTAGCATTTTCGGAACATGTTGAACAACTTATGGTTTTCTTCAGAATTCACAAGAGCGCGCGCACGAGTTTTCCTTGAACATCCGTGTTGCGAAACCATGTGTTTAATATGTGTTTTTGACACTCGGTTTTCAAACCTTTACGAACCACGGGTTTTGTTGAAGGATTTCTGCATGCGCGCGCGACGACGCGCGCGTGTGCATGTCGCACCGTTTTTTTATGCAAGGGATTCTTCAAAATTGATGGTTTTTGATAAACGAGTGCGCGCGCAAGGTTTTTTTGCAGAGGATGGCGGGGGGGGGGGGGCGATACCGGCTGGGCTGGGATTGTATGAGTTCATTTTTCGGATGGACGGTGGGGCAGACTCATACTTAAATTGCAATACGAACAAGGGAACCGATAATCCCGGGGTGGGGGGTCGAGTCTATTTTCTTTTTAGAGAAGGAGAATCTACGCGGTGCAACCTATGCGGCGTGGTGCAATGTTTGCGGTGCATTTTTTATATTTTTACGAACGAGTTGATATATTTCATGCTCGTTCAAGCATCCCACCCGCCCACCCACAACAACTTGGTTTGCAAAACCCATGCGGCGGCGATTGCGATGAGTGTTTGGCGTTGGCTGGTACATCCCTGCGGCCGCGCCAACCCAAGCACGCGCGCGCAGCGGCCAGCTAGTTTGGCGCGACCGACGCGGCCGCGGTGGCAGTGACCGCTGGGCACATCCCAGCGAGTCGGCGACTTGGGCGGGCTCAGTATCATGGCGACGTCGACAACGGTAGACGCGATGATGATAGTAGCGGTGTGGCTGACGATGTTGCCAACGGCGACGGCGTGGCCAGTTACGGCGCAGATGCTGATCGCGCCGACGACGATGACGGCGTCCTCGCGTCGGTGATGAAGGATTTGGTGAGAGTTCGACATGCGCGCGCGGCCGACGCGGTAGAGTGGCCCGCATGGTCGTGCCCCCCCCCCGCGCGTGCGAGGGCGTTCGAATGATTTCGGCATGCGGCCCGAGAGGCACGTTTGGCAACATTCAAAGGATATGTTGAACATTCCATGGTTTTCTTAAGGACGCGCAAGAGCGCGAGCTCAAACTTTTAATCATAACTGATGCTGCGGAACCATC